AGACAGTGCTCAGTCAGAGCTCCCTCTGCTGGACAAACTATGTAATGACACCGATGTAAAATCACCCTTTGCATCGTTTTCTGCATTAGATGTTCAGGTTAGGACACTCCAACAGGTAACAATATAATCAGGCTGACTTTGACGGTAACGCTGGCTCTCGCCCCTGCTGTTTTAGAAGCTAAAGTAAATGAGTAAATAAATGAATGGCAGTGAATGATTTAAAGTCAATACGTTAATTGTAATCATGCTCATGTTGACACCAGTGTCTTTAGGCTTCCTGTTTCCTCGCCTTCCTTTAATTGATTTCTCTGGCTGTTATTGGCATGAAACTGACACCACCCTAATAAGATCAACATTTCTACACTCTCTTCTTCCCACCATCCCTCCTCCCTGCATGCACCATTGATTTTCCATTAAAACCAGTCCCATGTGAGTCCCTTCCCCCAATTTGTTTCCTCCTCCTCTCACCACACGCGCTCCTCGTTAGCATCACAAAGTTAGCCTCCTCTCCCATGAGTTGCACGTCTCTCTTTAATCAGCCGCTCGTCTACTGTTAATTAGCCTAAAACACACACACATACACACACAGCGTGACAGAGTGACCTCTGTTTGTTGGTTCACGGCGGTACATGTGTAGAGCTGCAGTCACTTGTGTGTTCAGTGTGGAGGAGGAAGCAGCAGATGGGTTTTTATATCCACACTGGCAGGTCAGAGCGGGGCTGTGTTACATCCTCAGACTCGGTGTGTGGATGTGTTGGCTACAGAAGAAACGACTTGTGTCACGGAAAAAACTCAACAGAGACAAAATTAACTCTCAAGGACACAAAAATAAAACTTAGCGGGCAGCTCTCTGAATTGGCTGCAAGTGGCGGCAAATGCTTCCAATCATGTTTCTTCCACTTAAAGTCGTGGTTTTTGTCCCTGACAGGCTCCGGTTGTGACCACATCATAGAAATTATCCATACAGAGAGACCTCTATCATACAGAGGAAGATGATTATTTTAACTGGAAACAGCTGTTACATTTTACTTGCAGCACAAGGGAGTCGTTGCTCTACCTCCATCTCAAATAGTTAATTTTTATTGTTATTTTGTGACTTTCATGTTTATGTAGTTATCTTCAATACCGCACAATATTTGTTTAACACAAAATGGATATTTCATCATGCCTATAAACCCCTGTATTTCAGCCCTGCTCAGAACAGGCTGTTTCTGTGTCTGTACCTTTAAATGTAAATGAGCTGTGTCTGACCACACCCCCTCTCTGGAAGGGCTTGGGTGGCTCTGTTTTTCTCGCTCCATGTCCTATTGTTTACTGTGAGAAGGCAGACTCAGAGGGCAGAACAAACACCTAGCTGTGGGAGTGTCACCCACCTGGGGGAGGGGTTACTGCCCTTTGTGATGTCATGAAGGGAAAATCTCCAAACAGCCTGTTTGAGCACACATTTTCTGAAAAGTGGAGCAGGAAAAAGACGGAGAGGATGGACTTTTCTTATCATTGGGGGGTTTGTAGACCGACTAGAGACACATATTAGAGTAAGAGGAACATGGAGAAGAGTATTTTAGATAATATGTGACCTTTAAAGTTCACCTTGAGGTGTAGAATTGTGAAAAATAAGTCAAGTAGAAATGAAAATTGAAATGAAAAACCTGAGCTGCATCTGCAATAACGACGTCCATGTGCTTTTGCTGTTGGGTTTTTTAACTTTCTTAATGAATCCAATAGATATAAATTCAATACATTACTTCTGCGCTTCACAACAGTTATGAAAAAATTGAATTGGCCGCAGCTTCTCTGCTGGACAGGCTTTTATCCCTGTGCTGTTTCAGATGAAAGCTGCAGGCAAACAGGTGGATCTGAATAGCTGCAATCAAATCCAATGAATGCTTTCATGGTGAACCTGAAGGGCGACAGAGTCCTCGACAAACCTTATTATTCACATCTGATCATATATAAATATATGAGATGTACGGATTACTTCTGTCAGAAATAATTCCACTTTATGTTGAAACCACAGATTGCACCGCACCCACCTGTCAATCAGGTCACCTACACGCCTTATTGTGAATAACTTTTATCCTTTATCGAACCAAAACGGATGAGTCATCAAAACATTCATCCCCCGTACAGTGTGTGTTGATCGAGACATGAGCTAATCAGACCTATTTGTTTTTTTGAACCAGGCTGTAAACATGTTAATCTCTGCTGAAAAAACAGGCTTTTTAGAATGGATGTGTATGTGCCTTCATGTGTGTCTGCAGCCAGCCTCTAGTGGACACTTGGGGAACTGCAGGATTTTGCACTTCCTCATTGGCTTCATTATTCAAAACCGGAGGTTGCCGCTTGGTTTCTGCCCCATGAAAAATGCAGAAGACTCCAGATTTGTCTGATTTTCATGGATTAAGAATATAAAACATCTAAAACGTGCTCTTTGAATAAATTAGTTTGGCTGAAGCTGCTGTTAGTTTTTGTTAAGTTTGTTGATGTCTTAAGACTGACAGCACTCAGTAGCCTGCAGAAATATTGAAGACGGATAGTTTAGGAGGTCTGAATCCATTTCTGAGATGATCATACATCATAATTCATGGGACAAATGAGTTTCTATCACTATTTATTACACACTGTATTTGTTTTCTGAAAGATTCTCCCTCAAGCACCCAGCGAAGAAATGGAGGAAATATTACAGTTTGGGAGAAAAGAAAATCATAAATCTCATTAAAAGCAACGACAGACTTCCAGCGAATATTGTTCTTGCAGAGAATGCAGACAAAAGACGTGATTATTATTGGAGGACACCAAGGTCATATTGTCTGTGCTTTCTCAGAAGAAGTTAAGGACCAGATCCTGCTGGTTGGTTTTAAATATTTGAACATATTTTGTTCTTAATGAGGTGGATACCTGCTGTTGTTCTTTTAGACTGAGTGTTCCTGAATGTGACATTTTAGCCCAAACTGATTTGAAACATCATGAGATGCAAAAATGTTTTTTGAGCAACAGTTTAAAGGTCCAATCAAGGAGATGTGTCGTGAGTGAAATGATAAAGTGACCTTCCTATATGATCAGACATTAAGGAAACATGCTATGTTGAAATGCTGGCTTCTCTGACAACAATGCAGCAGCCAGTATGTCCTCCTTCTAACTTTAGATTCTGGTCCTGAATGCTCTGGATTTGTTTGGACCAGAGAAGGTAGGCGGTTTTGGATGCCCCTCGGTTTGCAAGATATGAGAGCAGTTATCAGGTTAAACCAACAGGTGTTGCAGAGATGGAAGCGGGCAAGAGAACTGGTTCAGATAGAAGTGATTGTACCCGACCTAAAAAGCCTCTGCATGTTTCTAATAAGCTCCACGAGCAGAAACGTGCTCAAACTAGGATCAATATTGGAAAATATATAAATGTTGAAATTTTACATATATGCTCAAAACATGAAAATCCAATACACACAAGATTTACCACAATACTAGAATTTTACACTTAGACATGAGTTAAGTAAAAATCGAGTGATATCGATACCTGTTTCATTACCACGGCAACAGAAATACAAGTCCTAGGCACCCAATATTGGGTGATCTCTTGTTTACAATTACCAAAAATTGCAGACAAACTCCTGCACACACACAAAACAGTGTCGGTGTTAGCTTGCCAAGCACCTGCCTGATGAAACGCATGTTATTGTTTTTAAGTTTCAGTACTTTTCTTAACCGTTGATCAGTTTTTAACCAAGTGGTGTCAAGGTGTTGATCTTTTTGACAACCTTAATAAACATACAGGAAGTTAGTTGTGCTAGAAGCAGCCTGGGAGACAATGGATGTTCTGTTCCTGCATTTTCATTATCTTGACTCTATTCTTGTGTGTTTGTGCTTCGTGGTTCTTTAAGGACGTAAATATGCAGAGAAAATGGACTGCTGTTGATGCATGTGATGAAAGCGAGGATGAAGGTTGACGTATGACTTGTGGAGCTGCGTCTTTAAACTCTTATCCGGTCTGACGCTGCTGCATGTTGACGTGAGGAAAACGGAGTTTGTGTTCCAGGCTTTTAACACTGACCCTCGTTTAGCCTGGGCGGAAAAATGTAATGAATTTAAACGCTTACAAACGACTTTCAGTGCACGGCTGTTAATTATGAGCGAGGCTGAATCACAGCAGGAGGGAGGGAGGGGAGGGGAGGGAGGGAGGGGGAGGGAGACGGGGGTTCTGGTAAATTAAGCAGGCAGTGGTGGGAACGTCTGTCCTCCTGTTAGAGCAGATCACCCTGCAGCCAAATCCTGCTAAACTCTCTCTGCACCCGGCTGAATATAAACACCGCTGCTCTCTCTCTCTCTGTCTGACTCATGATGCCACATCACATAGCAGCAGCAGCAGCAGCAGCATACGCCGTCTGTTCACACCTGCTCCAACCAGAGCTGACGAAGCCCGGATACTTTCACCTCGTTAGCACTCTCAAAGCAGCCATGGCGGTAGCTCTGCTTCCTCAGGGACATTGTCGCCTCTTAATTTGATCCCCTCCTCATCGATTTAAGGCTGCCTCAGGACTTTTGTTGCATGTCATCCTTAAATCTTTCCCTCATTTGATCGCTTAAAACGACTAAATTGCCTCCTCTTCCCTCCCTCCTCCTTTTGCGTACAGTCTTGTTGCACAGTATGCCTCTCTCTGACTTCAGGGGATGAACCTGTGGAGTGACACTGACTCCAGCATCATTTCCTCTCTCGCTCTCTGAAGCGAACTGAAGTGAGAAAGCTGCGGAAACAGTTGCTCTGCAGAACAACACGAGGACTGTGAGCGCGGAGCTGCAGCGTTAAAACCTGTGACGAACAAAAAAAATCCCCCCCAGCTCCTGTTTTCTTATTCCCCTCAGCTGTCAGAACCGCAGGCTGAGCCGCCACAGACGCTCAAGGACTACCGCAGTCCTCCTCATACACACACACACACACACACACACACACACACACACTCCTACACACACACACACACACACAAGTCATACAGCGATGAAACACTCACCAGTAGAAGCAGCATCCATCACGTCCCATGCAGCAGCAGATATTCAGCAGGTATTCCTGGCATGACTGCAGAAGCCCTGAGCATGTGTGTGTGTGTGTGTGTGTGTGTGTGTGTGTGTGTGTTTCCCTCTGTTTGTGTGTGTGTGTTTTAATTAAAGCACGCAGCGATACATGTTAACATCCAGCAGAAGCGGCAGCAGCAGCTATTTTCCAGTTTTTTCCTCGAGTATCTCCAAGAACCAACGTCTTCTCTGTTTTCAGCTCAGAAGCTACAGAGCGATGTGGAGAGAGAGGGAGAGGAGGGGGGGGGGGGAGAGACAGAGGGAGAGAGAGAGAGAGGGAGAGAGAGAGCGAGCAAGGGAGAGAGATGTGGAATTAAAAGGAGAGAGGAGAGAGAGACACGGAGAATGAATGACAGGTTGTGTTTGTCGTTCCTCCATCCTGCCTCTCTCTCTCCTCTGCTGTTAGAGAGGAGATCATCCATCACTCTATTACACACACACACACACACACACACACACACACACACACACACACACACACACACACACACACACACACACACACACACTCAGTACGAATGCACACACACACTTTGATATGTTCCAGTTCCCCAGAGAGTGGCCAATGAGTGCTCAGCTCTGCAGCTGTGGGTGAGTCCAATTGGCTAAGCAAGCTGTCAATCAGCCATGGTCCCCCTGTATCCCCACGGCAACGGAGAGGAGGGGATGGTGGTGGTTTGGGTTGGGGGGGTGTTAGGATTTAAAAGAAGATGAATAAGAGAGATATACTGTACGAGGTAGATGAGAGGAAGAAGAAGATGATGACGCTGAAGGAGAAAAGAAGGAGGTGATGGAAGTGATTTTTCCCTCTGTATTGTGTTTACAAGCTTAAAGGTCTTCTGAGAAACTTTAAAGGAAGAATGTGTGACATTTAAACATTCAGTAATACAGTCTCTCCTGTATAAATGTGTCTCTGAGTCATGACTGTCTACAATGAGTGAGAAGCTCGAGTCCCGCTGGCTGTGTTGTTGTTAGAGCCGTGTTTACATGGATGGGACGGCCGGCTCCTCCCCTTGTGTATAAAAGCTGTTTTAGTCAAGGACTAGAGAGAAGAAGAACATACTCACTGATTATTTGGATGTCAGTTTACATGCCATGTGAAGCTACGAGCTAACTAAAGAGCGCTAACATTAGCATGCTAACACAACAATGCAGAACACAGGTGATTGTTGCTCAAGCAAAGGTAGATTTTATACGCTGCTTTCGCTTAACTCCTTCATGTGAACGTGAGTGGTGTCCAAGCTGTAACCCAGACGCCTGCCTCTAGCTGGTGCTGCCGCCATCGACTCGCTGCATTTTGTTTAAGCTGAAGCAGATCTGATTGGACAGACACTCTCTCCCTGAACAGAGCTGTTCACAGTTTACCGCCTCACGCTTGTATGATTTTTATTTGACTGTGTTTTCCAGTTTGGGTTTTATGCTCATTGCCTTTTATCTGTTTATTGTCTCCTCAGGTCCCCGAGGAACCCACAGCAGAAGATCATCAAGCGGGTCATTGGCCTGGAGGGAGACTTCATCAGGTAGGAAGCACCCCCCCCTCCCTCTCTCACTAACTCTGATAAAGGAGCTCATATGCTTTATATCACCGCTTCATTGTAATAAACTGCAGCTATCCTCAGGTTGTAGGGGATCGGTCTCTCGTCTAATCGTATCACTCTGCAGTCAAGAGGTTCACTCCATCACACTGATGTCTAATCAGATTAACGGCATCACCTGGTGGCAAAAATAAATCACTGCTCGGCTCCCAAACAAACACTGGGGGGGAACATGCAGGGTTTAAATGTGTATTCTTCACCATGAGGAGGAGCTATAGAACCTGAGTTTCATCTTTATAATGTTTACATTCTTTTACCTGTAGAGTAAAGAAGGGAAGAGTGGAAGCATGTAGCATAAGGACCCTTATGGATGCATCTATGGTGGATAAAAAACAATAAGATGTCCTTCACCGAGGCAAGAAAACACAACGCAGTGCTGTGTCTGCTGCCCTGCATGTGAGAGAATCAGTACTTCTCAAAGTTATATTTTGTCTTTACTCAGTTTGCACACACCAGAGCTGGAAATCAGCACCCATCACCCGCCAAATACGGGTCTGAATTTGCTCAGCTTAGCAGTCGTAGTAGCTGGTAAATAAAAGAATCGTAACAGGCGTTGGCTTTCTGCTGAGAACACTCTCGACTCATTAAAACTTGAAAAAGGACGCCGGCGCAAAAAAAAGGTGGACACAGGGCCTAAGGTACAAATAAACAGACAGTATGCTACTAATTAGCATGCTAATAGGCAACATGTTAATAGTGAATATTGTGACTTTCATTTAAAGTGTTACCATTTTCTTTCAATAGAAAAGTCTTCTACTTCTAGTCTAAATTATATGAATTATAATCGGTGTTGAAAGCTGTTTTGCCACAAATGCATCCAAGCGTTCTGCACCCTGATGCCTGACCGAATGTCTTAAATGTCTCCGTGAATTAATGAGAAACTTTAGTACTTAAAGGCACATTTTGTAAATTATTCCACCAGGGGGCGCTCAATCAAATCAATGACAAAAGATGACATCGAGACTGGCGGGGAATCATGGGAGTGATTTCCTCTACTACTCCCCCCGACCCCGGATGAAAACGAACTCTTTGTTGACCGTAGTCATGACGACTAGGCGAAACAGACCTGAGGAAGAGAATATGTTTACAGACGAGCTAATGTATCCGAGTATAACTTACATGGCGTTTTTATCACAGCAGCACATACAGGAAAAGTACGGCAGCCTTCAGGAGCAGCTACATAGTCTATGTCAGGTCTCCCGTGGAAAAGAGGTTCTAGCTCTCAATGGGACTGACCTGGTTAAATAAAAAAAATGAAAATACATCCTAAACTTGTTGAAAAGTTTTATATAGTAACGAGTGTTTGAGTCACATCAAGGCTGTCTTTTGTTTTGCTTTCAGTTCTCCTCCACACTGTTTCTCCTTCGTTAACAAGCGAACACTAAAAAGGATTTATTGATGAACCAATCAAAGTGTTCCGCCCCATCAACATCGTTCATATAAATTTACAGCCTCCTCCATCATGTTTAACTTTCGCCGTCAGGATCATCAACGTTTCCGAGGCGTGAGTGACGATTATTCCCTTCTGGTTGTTGGTTCTCTGTCAGGGTTCAGGGACGTTAAAGCCGCTGTGATGAGACGCTGGAGGAGAATTTCTAAATGACAGCACAGCCAATCACACCAGTCGTTCATCAAGAAGAGCTGCACAGATTCTTCTCATCAAAGAGTGTGAGAAGGATTTATAAAACCTTTAACGTCTCTGTGATAAACGTCACTGTACTCAGTGTCTGAAGTTACTCTGAAATCAGCCTCTTCTGTATTTTAAAGCCTCTGGTTTTGCACTTTGACTGTCTCAGTCTTGTTTTTTTTCTTTTTAAAGATTTATTTTTGGGCTTTTTGTGCATTTAACAGAAAGACAGGACAGTGGATAGAGCCGGAAATCAGGGAGAGAGAGAGAGAGTAGGTAATGACATGCGGGAAAGGAGCCACAGGCCGGATTCAATCCCGGGTCGCCCGCCTGGAGGACCACAGCCTCCATACATGGGGCGCACGCACAAACCACTGCGCCACCAGTGCCCCGTCAGTCTTGTTTTTTAAGAGACCAAAGCGATGAGAGGGAGGAATAGCAAGAGGTTAGCTTTAGTGACAAATAGCAGACAGATCACTGTACAATCCTGTCACTCAAAGAGGCCACACCCCTAATTCTATATCACTTTAATCCTTAATGTATATGGTAGGTTCTATAAAAATTTTGCCTGAGCAGCACACAGCGATATTTGGTCTATATGAAAAAAACTTCAACAGCACAAACATGGCCCAGAGGTTAAAGGTCAGTGACTGAATTAGCTGAGGTGGCACCTAGCAGACAGCTAGCAGCTCCCACCTGTAACTCAAAGAGGCCACGCCCCCTTATTCTACATCACTTTAAGCCTTAATATAATGTAAACAGGTGAGTTGTATAAACATTCAGTTGAAGAGAGAAATGAGCTCTAGAGACCCAAACTGTTTTTGTACCAGGATATAAACATGTTGACTCACTGCAGACAGACTCTAGTGGACACTGGAGGAACTGCAGCTGTTAAGTTGGACATTTTAACATGGGGCTCTATGGGGACCGACAGTGGAGTTTCGTTTGGTTGCTGTTGCTGAATTGCTCTATAAATTGGACCGGCCGTGGATTCCTTCAGTCCCTTCAGGACACTTTGGTGGGAGTCATGTCTGCTGCTGAACAAACACCCTGTTCACTGTTTTCAGGTGAATTTCACAGGTTGTCGTGTATAAGATGCGTGACTCTGTCCCATTACCGGCTGTTGTTTCTCTTTCGTGGCTGACTGAACGGAATCCCACAGACGACCAAAAGCAGATTTAAAGTGACCAATCAATGCCAACATCGTGTGTGTGTTGTGTTTACCAGGTGGGTGAACATGAAGCAAAAAGGATTTCAGTGCAGACACTATGAAACCAACATGACAGACCACTTTTAGAGCTGATTTTTATTCTTTCTTATTTTATGCTCCAAACTCGTAACAAGTCATGATGCAGCCTGAAGATCAACACAGGCAGAAATAAAATGAAGGAGTCTTATAGGAAGTAATCAAAGGGGAAGCCAGCCTTAATAGTAATAATAATAATAATAATAATAATAATAAATTAGTCTTATAGCGCTTTTCTAGATACTCAAAGACGCTTTGACAAGCATTAACAACATACAAAAACAACAAAGAAGTAATGTAAAGGGGGGAGGATGAGAGTTAGTGGTTATAGGCAGTGTTGGAGAGGTGAGTTTTTAGGGATCTCTTGAAGGAAGTGAGTGTGGGGGAGTCTCTAATGGTTTTTGGGAGTTCCAGAGGGTTGGAGTGGCAATGGAGAAGGCCCTGTCCCAGGAGGGGGACGGGAGGTTTACATCACCATTAAAACACAAGGTGGCTTAAAGATTCGATCTGCTGTGAGTCAGTAATAACTCATCCATTCATACACATTCGTACACCGTAGACAAAGCAGCGGGAGCAACTTGGGGTGAAGTGTCTTACCCGAGGTCACATCGGACATGTAGCTGCAGGAGCTGGGGATCGAAGAGACGCCCGACTCCACAGCCGCCCCTTCAATAGGGGACTGTTTATTCTTCAGATAATAAGATAACGTCTTACATAGCTTAGATGAGCAGGAATAATGCCGATTTAGTTTAGAGCAGGGATGGGCAACTTCGTTCACAGCAAGGGCCACATTCATTTCATTCTCACTGCCAGGGGGCCAAATTGTAGAATACAAAAACGATTACAGTCAATTATGTCTAAAATTTAACTCAACATATACCAGTGATCAAATATTATTATGGACATATTTTTGTTTTTCATGATTTCATGGCAGATTTTGTCATGTTTTCTTCATGTTTCCAATTAATTGATATGTAAAAATTGACCTGAGGGCCACGTTGAGGGTTGATGGGGGCCGCCAGTTGCCCACTCCTGGTTTAGAGGAAATAAACCCCCTCAGTGTATCAGAGGATCATGCAGAGCCCTTTGACTTCCTGCCTCCTTTATTAAATATTATATTTAACATGTAATCAACAGCATGCAAAGAAGTGTTTCAGCGCTGAGTTTGTTTCCTGAAGTCTTAAACTTCGCCTGTTTTTTGATTTCCCCTGTGAGATCTGTGTGATTGAAGCCAACTTCACTGGAGTATTTTCACTTTTCAGGCTTAATGTTGGCTTGAAATTGGTCTTGAATTGCATTTGAACCGGCATTAAGGACACATTAAGGTTAGGAAGGCAGAACGTTTTTTTATTCAGAGTGTGAGCGCAGTGAATAGCAGGGACTGTGTGTGTGTGTGTGTGTGTGTGTGTGTGTGTGTGTGTGTGTGTGTGTGTGTGTGTGTGTGTGTGTGTGTGTGTGTGTGTGTGTGTGTGTGTGTGTGTGTGTGTGTGTGTGTGTGTGTGTGTGTGTGTGTGTGTGTGTGTGTGTGTGTGTGTGTGTGTGTGTGTGTGTGTGTGTGTGTGTGTGTGTGTGTGTGTGTGTGTCTGTGTGTGTGTGTGTGTGTGTCTGTGTGTGTGTGTGTGTGTGTTTGGGTGTATGAGTGTCATGCTCCTCTCCATGGCTTTCCTGCAGGAGGAGGTGGGAGCGTTCTCGGCTCTGTTACGCGGCGTTCTCGTGAGGAAATGAGCTGCACAGTTCAGATAATGAGACACAGCAGGAGAGCAGATCAGGCCCGAGCTGCTGGCTCTGATACAGCGGCTCCTCTAGAAAGTCTCTGTCTGATTGTTGGAGTTTTTTTTTTTTGGTAATTTAGAGGAGAGACCATCGTGTCTCCAGTTTGTGTCTCTGCCCATTAGCATGCAGTCTCTTTCAGTTTCACCTTTTAATCAAAAGTTTCTCAAACTCCACAAACTGATAACCAAACTTCTGACTGATGAGTGAACAGATGTCATCTTTGCATCACTTAAGCACATGCACACACTGACACTTTTGTTCTAGGCTGGGGGTGGAGTTCATGGGTGGAGATACCAGGGGAGGGGAGGGGATTTTTTTTTTTTACCAGAATCCCACTGTGACATCACAAGGAGAGAACATCTGAAACTGAGCATTTTTCTCTGTGTTGTAAGACTTATGCAGACCACAAACAAAGGACTGGATGGGTTTATTTCACATTTTGTGGGTCAATAAACACTCAGGTTACCCAAATATATGTTCACACTGTAGAAGTGGATTTTTTATAATGTCCCCTTTAAGCGAACAGACGATCCCTTTGTCAGTGTATCGTTCTCGTGTAAAGGTGGCCTCCGTCTGTCATGAATCATGGTAAATCGCTTACTGGGTAATGAATACAAAGGTCTTTAGGTAAGAATGACCCTCATGACCTTCACGACCAAGTATCTTCTTAAGTCGTTTTCTTGACAATGCCTGAAGAAGATCTGTAAGATTGAAACTTTGCTTTTACAATTAAAGTAGCTGGAAGCTTTTAAAACACTGCCCAGCCTTTCTGGATTCTCGCCCGGACCCAAAACTGTACTGTGTACGGACCCAACCATGCTCCTCATGCAGTGCAGGGATAGACAATGTGTGCCCTACAGTGAAAGAGGCCTCAAGTCTTCAGCCGTGTGTGGAGGGGGGAGAGAGGACCTGTCAGGGCCTCAGACCCCACAGAGGTGTGTTCACAGTATCATAACACACCCTCATCATGTGATTCCCACCGGCAGCTGTTTGTGTCCGGTGCCACCGTACAGATTACAGGTCACCCACCGGTGGGGGGGGAGGGGATGAATAATGAACAGGCTTGTGATGGCTCTCTGGCGGAGGCGGCGATGACGACGCCTGCTGTCAGCCTGAGTTGTCTTATACGGGCCAGGTCTGCATAAATCACAGCTCCGCTTTTAATTCGGCCTCAGCGTCTGCGAGGCCACAGAACCATCAGCCGGAGCAGACCGAGGATGGTTTTTACAGATTCATCTCAGAACAGAGTGGCCTACAGCTCACGTAAATCTCCCCATCGTCACTGTCAGGCGGCAGGGAGCTGAGTGGGAGTGTTGGCTGCGGCTCGGTGCAGGAGCGTCTGCAATGAACTAATGGTAACACATAAATAAAGTGTATTTGTCTGTTAAACCATTATACAGCCCCCCCCCCACCCCCAGCCACCACTGACACCAAAAGTCACTCCTCCTCAAACAAAGTGATGACCACAGAAACACATAAATATCCTCTCTAAGGAGCCCGAGTCTCTAAAGTTTGCACACAGAACAGAGAAGAGAGGACGTTATCAGGGCTTTGGAGACACATTTAACAACCTGGGCCTCATATGTGACATACTCTGGGTTCACAGCGATGGTTACAGGGTGTTGCCGCCACTGCAGGATTTTACACTTCAGCATTGGCTTCATTTTTTTCAACCCTGGCGGATGCCGCTCGGTTTGACCATGTTTCACTCTCTGGTCATGTTAGTTCTGAAAAGTCTACCAAGAAGCCTGAACATTTGATTAAAGGTCTGACATGTTGAAACGAGAAATGCTAACAAGCCCTCATTTAAATGTTATAATAAGTCAGCCTTACAGTATCTTCATTATATCTTTTAAAAAGACAGAAGCTCTGATTTTTTGGACTCTGGTTCTCTTCAGGCTGCTGTGCACCGTTTAGGACTGCTTCTATATTTCCGTCCTGACCCATTTCAATCTCTCCATGCACATATTTCCATCCAATTAAACTGAGCTATGTCTGCAGAGTTTGTCAGAAATAATATTTAGCACAGTTCATCCCGTCTGGACTGAAAGTCATCGGATGCAACAGAGCCATTCTGAATTTCTCTGCATTAAAAAAAAAAACAGACAAAATTCAAAGATTTTAAAGAGTCAAGGAAAAGTTCTGTGACTGACAGCTTCGACAAAACATAATAACGAGCATCAGCGTTCAGGCGCACACGTCACTCAGACGCGCACACACACACACAAGTGAGAGAAGGTTTATCTTTTAATCCAGTGTGTGAAGGTGCCGTGTGTGTGTGTGTTCAGACGGCAATGATGATGCACTTTGTATCATCTGATGTTCTCTGAAGCGTCTCTGTGTGTTCTGAAGTTATTTATGATCGTGTCTGAGTTTAATCCTCAGAACACGATGAACTCATTGAGCTGCTCTTCATGGAATCAGGACGTGTGTGAAAGTGTTTCTGCAGTCCAGCGTGCTTAAGAGACAGATTTCTTCACCACAGTTCAAAGGTCGCAGTTCAACCACACTCAATCTGAAGCAAACAAGGTGAACCAAGTATCTGCCTTTCTTTGTTCACTTTGATGTGGAGTGTTTTTAATTTGCTGTTGTCCTCTTGAGGAGTATTTATTTTTGTCATTCTGGGTCTTTTTGCGGTTATTAGAGATTATTAGTGACAGGAAGTGTTGGGAAGAGAGAGGGGGGGGGATGACATGCACCAAAGGGCCGAGGTCAGACTCGAACCCACAGCCGCTGCAATGAGGACTGTACTTTCAGTACATGGGGCGTGCAACATAACCGCTAGGCTATACGACGCCCCATGAGTGGAGGATTTCAAAATAAAACAATCTCTACATTTGTGCAAAAATGAGACGTCTGTTTCTCTGTCTGAATCTCTCACTTTATTCTGGAGCTTTCTGGGAGCAAACTGTTGTGCCCCCGGTGTCCACACCATTTCCTCAGGATGATGTTGAGGTGTCATTGGGTTTATTACAGGTCCTTATTTCAACAGAAGTCAGTTGTCTTTGGTCCTGTGAAGATTTCTCACTTGTTTCTTTTTGAATGTACGAGTGTCAGAATGGGTGTCATATAGTCTGTAACCTTTTTTTTATTTCTGCAAAAAGGTCCTGGCTTGTTTTTCTTTTGTGAGTCGGTAAATCCAGCTGCTGTTGCTAAATCAATATTTATGTATCCAAGGCCTCTTCGGTCGGCCGGCCTCCCGGACCGGCGCGCACACACACGCATTCAGAATTGCAGACAAATTTCCATTTAAAAAGTCACTGAGGCTATAACTCAGTGTGTTCTCGTGCTATCAGATAAATCAGAGCTGGAACGGGCCTATAACAGTCTGCAGGGATGATGAAGGGCGTCGGACCTTCTCCTCATAAACATGATGACCTGAGAGGAGACAAACCCCTCCTCCACGTTTATTAGTCTCCGCAGGTCCTCTGATCTGATCTTTGTTCCAGTGATAAGGTGGTGATTGGACGAGACACCGCAGGGATGATTTAAAGCCTCGTGATTAACGATAATGAAATGAAAGTGATAATTGTGCTGCAGATTTAATCTTCCATCAATGAGCACCTTAAAGGCAAATATATCCTCAATCTCCATCTTTTTTTTTCTCTTCATCCCAGGAACTGAAGCAATTATTAATCAACCCAGAAGAGATGTTAAATCTAGATTCTTGCGGCAGCTCAGTGGTGCAATTATAAGCAAACATTAGCTAACATGCTAAGCTAAGCTAACTTTAGCCCTGCTTGAAAAAACGTATCCTACTTGTGCCTGAATTTGGCTTTTAAAAGTCTACATCTTCATTGAACAGTTCCATAACACAACATGGCACATGTCATGTATTTTTATATTCATCTGCGTTTCTCATCTCACCATAAAATCCAAAATATAAGACCCTGCGAGCACTTCTGCTGGAGTCACGCTGCCTACCTCTGCTGGTCACTTGTTGTCTTAACTGTGGAGTCTTTAATAAGACTTATTTTTGGGCTTTTTTTTGCCTTTAATGGAAGATAGGACAGTGGATAGAGTTGGAAATCAGAGAGAGTAGGGAATAACATGCAGAAAAGGAGCCACAGGTGGGACCCGAACCCGGGCCGCCTGCCTGGAGGACTACAGCCTCCATACATGGGGTGTGCGCATCAACCACTGCACCACCAGCGCGCGAACTGTGGAGTCTTTGCAATGAAACCAGCACTCCTCAAGCTTTATCGTGTATACTTAATGGTATAACACTTGTTGCCGGCCTGAGCCTGTCCCTTTAAATAGGTGGCTTATGGGTAATGTAGGCTTTAAGAAGTTGTGATTGAGTCTCCCGCTGCGGCACAAGTGTTTGTACAAGTCTACTGTGTCTGTAAATAAAGTAACCCGATTTGGTGCGGCAGCACTTGAAGCCATGACGGTGCATGACTCAGCATTTTATACTGGTATACTGATGGAACCAGTATTATGATGCAGTCCACTTTACTGCGTCGATACTGGTGCTGGTCAGACTTCACCTGAGTACGGTACTGAAGTAAACGTTGAACACTTGTAAGAGCATTTAGCTCCGAGCTGAAGTTCTGCCTCAGAGACGTTTTTCTAAGTTCCTGTAGATGTTTCCAAAGCAAACACTGCTGAAGTCTTTCCAGGGAGAATTTAAACCACCTCTCTGCTCAGTATTGATCTTGTGAAACTCGACGCTCGTTGAGTTGGGAGGAGGTTTTGTCGCTCGGGTACGCCAAAGGCACAAAGAGGAGAAATCAGACGTCTTTGAACAAAATCCCTCAGATGTTTTAACATCGTTAGATTTCAACCGCCCGGAGGAATTTAAAAACAAAAAGTGGATGATTATCAGATGTTTTTCTCTCTCTTCTTCTCTTTAGGACTCTGGGTTATAAGAACCGATATGTGCGAGTCCCTGACGGTCACTTCTGGATCGAGGGGGATCATCACGGACACAGTCTGGACAGCAACAGCTTTGGACCGGTGAGACCTGAACACCACATCAGCGTGCTTGACCCACATAACAATTATCAACACTTTACAGCCCTGAAAACCTCATTTACACCTCACAGTTTAATGACGTTATTCTCTTATCAGGCTGCAGAACTGCTGCAGAGTTACTCAGTACAAAACAATGTAAATAAAGAGCAGACTTGAGCCACGGGTCCACCAAGTGGTCCGGTTTGGTTCAGTACAGTCTGGTACGATAAACCATGACCTTGGTAGCGTCACCACAGCTAACCGTGCTCTTATTTGGTAAGCGGATTTCTACAAAGTCCGTGTGTGCTGCATTCCTTCAGCGCCATGGTTTTTGCTCCGTCGAAAGGCGTGCGCCCTGTCCCACTGGGTTAATTTTTGGAGTGTGAGTGCAGCCATGAACAGCTGAAAACACATCACAGGAGAACTACAAGATAAGATCACAGGAGAATTACAAGGTCACAGGAGAACTACAAGATCACAGGAGAACTACAAGAGCACAGGAGAACTACAAGAGCACAGGAGAACTACAAGATCACAGGAGAAGAACTACGAGATCAAAGGAGAACTACAAGATCACAGGAGAACTACAAGATCACAGGAGGACTACAAGATCAGAGGAGAACTACAAGATCAGAGGAGAACTACAAGATCACAAGAGAACTGCAAGTTTAAAGGAGAACTACAAGATCAGAGGAGAACTACAAGATCACAGGCGAACTACAAGATCACAGGAGAAGAACTACGAGATCAAAGGAGAACTACAAGATCACAGGAGAACTACAAGATCACAGGAGAAGAACTACGAGATCAAAGGAGAACTACAAGATCACAGGAGAACTACAAGATCACAGGAGAACTACAAGATCACAGAAGAACTGCAAGATCACAGGAGAAGAACTACAAGATCACAAGAGAACTACAAGATCACAGGAGAAGAACTACAAGATCAAAGGAGGACTACAAAAGCACAGGAGAACTAAAAGATCACGAGAACTACAAGATGACAAGAGAACTACAAGATCAGAGGAGAACTACAAGATCACAGGAGAACTACAAGATGACAAGAGAACTACAAGATCAGAGGAGAACTACAAGATCACTGGAGAACTACAAGATCACATGAGAACTACAAGATGACAAGAGAACTACAAGATCACAGGAGAACTACAAGATCACAGGAGAACTACAAGATCACGCAGGAATAAAGAGACAAACATAATGTTGATAAAGTGATGGAAAATGCGATCGTGAGTCTGTATGTTGTGTTTTATTTTGAAATGGACCGGACGCTCTGTGTGCTTACTTGTCTTACTTCCTGTTTGGGTCGTTCTATTCTGTCCAGCTTGACGCGTGCCTGCAGCACGTCGTAGAAAATAGACAGACCGCAGCTCTCTGTGGAAACATGAGCATTGACTAGAGTGGCAGCGAACGGCTGACTGCACAGACACAAAGAATGTAGAAATTGTCAGAAAGTCGGATGGAGAATGTGGCGTGAGCTACATAATAGCGTGACACCAAAGCAGCGCAACTACAACAAGTGTAGCCTGCCAATAAACTCAGTGAAGCGACAGTAAACGAAGGTCGTCCAGCAAAAAAGTAGGACGGTACTGATCGGTTGTTTTGGTACCATTCCCAATTTTCGACAGTGGAAAACGAATAAATTGGTACCGAACTGAACTGGTGCGCTTGGTGGAAACAACCTGAGCCTGTCAGGGACAAAAACAAGAACCTTTAGTGGACGCACTTTGATCGGGCTCTTTGCAGCGCCCGGAGCGATCACTGGAGGTTACAGGTCTCAACGATTTGACTCCCCTTTATCCCAAAGTTTCTTCTTGAACTCTTCTGTTAAACCGTGTTTGTCTATAAAACGATGAAAGGTTTAGTGTAAATCCAGGATCAGAGGTCAGGAAGGGGGGGGGGGGGGGGGAGCGGGGGGTTACCTGTCCTATCTGATGTTGAGCCGGGTTTACCTGCGTCCTCTGCAAAGCTTTACAGTAATCTGAAGGAAGGCTACAGACGATGCATTCGGATGGTGTGTGTGTTTTTCCTGGCGAGGTTTGAGCAGGTGAAGCACGTCTTGAAGGATGTTGATGTTTACTTAGTTTGCCGTCCTGGCTGAAGCTGCCTCTCCTCCAAACATGAAGATTTCATCACCGCTCTGCCTCGTCTCTGCGGTGCACAAACATGATTAACATCCTTGTATTGACCCCTCCCTCTCTGCGTGCTGTTTGTACTTGCTCTCCTTTCAGCAGAGGAGATGTTGCTTCCTGTAGAGGACACATTTCAGGCCTAACAGAAGAGATCTGGAGCTGAGAGGAAGAATCCAGCCGAGGAGATCAGAAGAAAATCTTTCAGATCTCAAACCCAGAACGGCACACAGCTCCTCTGGATTTACAGTTTTTCCCGTGATGTTTGTGGGTGTGCAGCAGGAGTCTGCAGTCACACCAGACAGACAGAAATGATCTCATGTGTTTTAACAATATTTACATGTCAGCCATTTTCCTCTGACACTTCAGATGATGTTATATCTCTGTAATCCAGGGTGAAAAACATGCTAAACATTTTAATCTCAAAAAAACATAGTAGATCACAGACACACATAGGCCCTTTTTCAAACCAACCCCTACACACTCCCCCTCCGTGACGGAGTGCACTCCGTTAGAAGTCACACTCACAGCTGAATGAAGTCTCCTTCATCAAGGTGTAGGGTAGAAATACAGCGGCAGGCTTTGGGACAAACTTCCCTCTATCAGGTGGAAACAGGAACTGTGTGTTACCATGGTTATTCAGCGCTATCTTGCGGGAACAGCTTTTTTTTGTAGCTAATGTATTCTGTAAAAATATTTATGTAGCCTAGATTATTCTTCTTCTTCTTTAGTTATATTAGTGTAAACTTATAACAAAACTATTAGATTGAGCCTATATTGTTTATTGTAATTTATAATTTAAGTTAATTTATTGTAATTTCATAGATCAGGGTGTCCTAAATTAATGGATAATATCGTTGAACATCAGAGCAGCAAAGTGTATTTTTTGGATTTCACAAAAACATCAAAAGTAGAAAAATAAGAAATAAATATTAACAGTGAAAAGTTGTCTGCAACATGATTTAATATTCTTTTGTTTTTTTGCAACAGTCCCTGTAAATATGAAACACTTAACAATAAATAAACATATATTTGATCCTCAATACAAAACACATTTGAAGTTGTTAACGTCTGTATGACGATATTAAATGTCTGTCTTAGTTGGAGCAGTGTTTGTAGGTACTTGAACTCACAGGTTACTTCATCCATGACGACTGGACACAATAGGCGTCGCACGTGATCCAAAAGTCAGCATCGGTGCACACTCGCTGGTGGAGGGTTTTATAACCCACTACCACTCCCCGCTAATTGGTTTTGGACAGACTTAATATGGTAAACCCTCCGCGAGGACGCACAAACGGAGGGGTAGTGGGTAGGGAGAGGGTGTAGTGGCTGGTTTGAAAAAGACCCGGGCCCTTTTCCGAATTGTCACAGTTCAGTAGGCAGTATGTACTTTTCAGTATGGAGTTTCAGTATACTGAACTCTCGTGGTCATTCAGTATGCATTTTTTCATACTGAACATTTCAGTGTGGATACTAACTTCCGGGTTTCATGCAGTATGGATCGGATGCATGCTTACAGGAAATGAATTGTATTTTAACTCCCACAATGCTGTGCGAAATTAAATGTAAATCATCACTTCACGTCCGCCTCCAAATCAAAACAAACGAGTGTGGATTAATTTAATATATTTTTATCTAGAGTTAAAGTCTCGACTGAAATCGCTCTTAATTAACAACAGAAAATATAACAAATATCTGCATTATTATAAAACCTTTCCCCCTCCATTTAAATAATGATTTCACTATTTAAATGCGTCTTTATTGGTTTAGTTTATATTCTGTACATTACTGTCTTTCATTTGTACTTTCCTGTTTGTACTGTATGTTATTTAGTTATTTAATCTGTTTTTTACTTGATTTACATTGTGATATTGTTTTTTGTTTACCTGACTGTATATGTGAATAAAGCTAAACAAAAAAACAAAAAAAAAACGGTTGAATGCGGCCGGTTCAGGTAATGTAAATGACATCACTTTCTTACTGAATGAATCAGATTAAGTAGGGACAAATATCTGCCTACTGTGTGTGCATACTGAATAGTAGGTACTAACAGTATACAGCACGGATAGTAGGCACTGTCTACTGAAAGATTTAGTAGGTACTTGGCAATTCGGAAACAGCCCCAGTGTAGATCTCAGCCACACGTAGTAGATCTCAGGCAAACGTAGTAGATCTCAGACAAACAAAGTAGATCTCAGACACACATAGTAGATCACAGAAAAACAAGCATTGTAAAAAAAAAAAAAAACATAATTTATATCAAATATTAGAATGCTTTGAATGAATGTAATGATTTAGTATATTCCACAGACGGGGGCGTGCACCAAAAAAGTCCCCTAAGGGCTTTAGTAGATTATCACAACAGCTAATGTTTGCATTCAACAGATTCTTGCTAACATGAACGTAATCTAGGTATCATCAAAAAGCAAAACGAGAGACACACACTCGCCATTTTCTCAACGTGTTTGGGGAAAATATGATGGAGCGCCTTTCGCCTTTTACGCCCCCATGACATTAGATAGACCTCCTTGAGTGTCGCCATGTTTGTTCACATCACACAATGCAAACCAGGAATCTCTACTTTGATGTTCTGCGGGCTCTGATTTATGAGGTGCTCCCTCTAGAGGACTCTTCCAGTAACACACGTTGTTCAAAAGAGAGGATGTTTGAGCCTTCCTTCTCATGGTGGGATGAAGCCGTCTGAAAAGTGAACTGACTGGCTTTTGTTGATGGTTGCATCTACATCTTTGTTTCCATTAAAACACAGTGAAAACATCTGAACACAACAGCTGTGAAAACTAAAATCCATCTCTCTTTTTTAATTCTACTTTAACAAATATTGCAGCAGGAACATTTCCAGATCGATGCGGTGTGTTCTGGATGTGTTTTATCCAGCAGGAAGTCTCAGCTCTTCCTTTAATATAAGGCCTGCAGTGCTTTCTGCTGCCCACCACTCACTCTTCACAGCTCGATAAGAAATAGTCTGGAGGAAAGAAAACACCCACAATCTCTACTTAAAGTTTCCAGTCTGAACTCTAAATGCTGCGTCTCATTTTTTCTAAATATTGTAAACTTTGAAAAATAAGAAATAAAAGACAAATGCTGACTTCAAAATGGAGAGGAGTCAAGTTTTCATGTCAGTGGATCTCACTCTGTGTAGCTTACAGGAGCTTCATACAGTAAGTGTAAAGATGAAAAGAGAGCACTGCAGCTGTGGCTACTTTACATAGAAACCTCTACCATCAGTGTGTGAATGTGAAGGTGTAAAACGCTTTGAGTAGTCAGAAGACTAGAAATGAAATTTACAAGCTCAAGTCTATTTACATAGTTCCTCAAACTGTCCCTGGTCCCGGGGGAAAGAGGGCTAAAGAAACGTCTTTGACCTTCAGCTGTCGTTCAGACTTCAGCCTCCAGGACACCGTAGAATTCAAACCAAACACTTCCTGGTCTGTCTGCAGTCGGCCTCACTTCACCTGCTCTCCAAAGATTTCTCTGAAGATGGAGACGAACACAGCGCTGAGGCTTTTTTTTTATCTATACACGCCGGCCTTTCAGCGATAGCAGACCTTATTGAAAGCATCTGACATTCGCTAATGTGTGTGTGTTCGACCTTTTATGCAAAGCAGCTGTAATTGGTGCAGCGAGGAGGGCGTTGGACGACAGTGAGCAGCAGATCTTTAGCTGTCAGCCTGCCAGCCTAAATGATCGGTGCTGATCATGTCTGTAATTCTCTGGAGCAGAGCGTGAATGTAAAGCGGACGGTTTAGAGAATTATTCCTCTGCATGAAGCGACGCTCTCCAGCATCTTTAATGCTCACTTTTGAAGCTTTAATAAATCATTTAGAAGCAGTTGGACCAAATACTCTAGGGAAACCTGGACACAACATAATGAGGGACCCACAGTCTTCCCACTCCCAGGAGAGCCTGAAACACCAGTCCAGTTCAGATTCAGGGCGCACTCAAACTAATCAAAGTAGTCCCGTACCGTGCTGAAGCCTGAGTGCCCCCCCTCCCCATTCCCCCGCTGGCCTGCACTAAGGAAACAAAATGAATTAATGACAGAGTTCTTACCTGAGCTCCTAAACACATAAACAGGAGAAAACAAAGGAACCAACAAAAAGGCTTCTCACGCCTACACTGCTGCTGAAGTGCTCAATATTTACAATGTTTTACAATTAAACGGTTTTCAAACTAAAATGTACAAACTGACTGACTGTGTTTTGTTTTCCCAGGTGTCCGTTGGGCTGCTTCATGGCCGGGCCTCTCACATCATCTGGCCTCCGAATCGTTGGCAGCAAATCCAACCGCGTCTCCCCAAGAACCGAGGACCACTGGACACCGAAGAAGAGGATGAATGAAGACACATACCGACATATTTTTTTACAATAATGGTAATAAAAAACGAAATTAGATGAAAGGAGAAACAGATGGTACAACTTTATTCTGACCTTTTGGTTATTTGTTGTAAAATGTTGAATTAAGCGGACAGGATGCTCTCAGATTCTGTCAGATTGTTTCATTACCGTTACATTAAGTGTATAAAAATACAAAATAACTTTCTAAGAAACGACCAGATCTGTAGCTTTTCGAACCACATCCACAAAGGATGCTAAAGTCCTGACCACGATTCAAAAATGATAAGTGGATGTTGATAATTTTTGAATGCAAAACCCAAACCTTTAAGGGCCTGTTTAACCAAGAGTGGATCTTGGCCTCTAATAGCTACAAAAATTTCTCCAGATTCCCTTCTGTCATGACAGGTGGCTTAAAGCTGGGGACTAGCGGACACTTGAGGAACTGCAGGATTTTGCACTTCCACATTGGTTTCCTTTTTTCAGTTGCCACTTGTTGCAAACACATCCAAAAAGTTGTTCTGCTCTGTGCAGTTTGCTCTTCTTTTGTTTTGTATTTCTAATGTGGAGAGAAGCTATCTTCACCTTCACCTTCATGTCTTTTAATTATTGCGGTGCAGTTACCACCAACTCGCTTTTTGCAACAATGTTGATTTGCATGGACTGGGATCATATTTTCCCCAAATCCCTGCATAATCATTTAAATTCTCTCAAACAGCTCTGACACACAGAGACGCTGTTTGCGCTGCAGCGCAGTAAGTGGAGCATTTAACCCTTTGTGTGTGACGTGTGAATAAGACATCTTTTTGTCTCATCTACACAGGTTTAGCAGGAGCCGAAGCTGCACAATCCTTCTGTGAATGGGTCGTAATGGTTCCAGTGTTGTAATCGTGATACATTTTCTGCTTTATTTCTGTCATTTCTGTTCGTTTGGGTTGTTGGTTTAATAAAACGAGATTTGAAGACAATTTTGCAAAGCTTCCTTTTCTTTTTTCTGGTGTTTTTTTACCCAAACCTGTCTTACTGGCAGCAGAGGCCGGACTCTCAAGTAGATGGAGATCCCCCTAAAACTTCAGCGAGGTGATCTGGCACTACTACCACCCGACGTCCCTGACGCCCAGCCACCACCATCGGACGTTGACGTCCCGACAACCACCGCCATCCTCATTCATACACGGCCTGCTCCGACCTCCACCTCAGCAGAGAGGAAGTGTGGACAACAGGAACGAGAGCAATACAAAGAAGAAATCCATCCTGCATCTTATCCCATATGCTCTTTTGTAAAGCGTCTCAAGATAACACTAATGATTGATTGATTTGTCATGAAAGAAATGTGAGTGATGGCTTTCCCGATCTCACTACTTCTCCAGCCTCTGTTTAACTAACATCTGTAACCCAGAGGACTTTCTCTTTTAGTCTTTATGAAATTGATCTTAACTCTTATCTCCATTTTGGGTCAACCTCAGAGCTTGATGTTCCAGTTTGAACCCCTGTGGTTTCAGCAGAGTTAAACTGTGATTAATTCATTAGCATTCCAATCAGCTTCCAGCTCATACTGTGAGTCATCTGTTGTGTTTGTTGCTCATTCAATATATCATCTTTTCAGCGTGTTAGCTGTGATCTCTCTTCTTCAATCAACCAGCCTCCATCGACAGAGAGGCTTACCTTCAATATAAAAAAACATTATCTTTAAACATGATTTAGGCTAGTAGCTAACAAAACTGGCAATGTTTATGCTAAAATCAACGTATGGCAGCATGACATGAAGTTAAAAAAGATGACTGACCAGTGATTTTACAGACTGACAATTAGCTCCGCCCCTCACATTCATGGTTGGCTGTTGTATGAAACTCATTTGGTTCAGATTTCAGCACCACGGACAGATAACAGAGACGCTATGTTCTCTGCTCTTTATTTAAACTTGACAGAAAAGAAAGAAATGCAGTGATTCACTGGATTATTTCTTAAAAGTAACCATGGGATGTTCAATCTGCTCAACAAAAAGGGAAATTTGGCATCAAAAAAAGACACATTTTGTTGTAGTTGTGAAGTGTGTTCAAGTCTGTGGTGAACAGGCTACAGTATGATGGTTTCCCAACACGTTTGCAGCGGCTTCCTGTTTGTGGAAATGAGGTGGAGAGGTCATATCTTCAACGCCATGTTTGCATTTAATAGTGCTTGGTGTGCAATAAGCCACAGTGGTCTAATTTTTCTCAGATTTCAAAATATTAGTTTGTTGTAAATTTGAACACAGACGACTGCACAAGTAAGACACATTAATCATAAATCATAATCATATAGGATACTAGTATTTATCATGTAAACGGGTATGAATAAGCAGGTTTCTCTGTGTGCATGTTAACACCAGATCCTGAATATGATCAAAAACCAGGATCAGGATCATAAACAGGACACTGGAGCCCATGTAAACACTCTCATTATCTGTAGCTCTATCTTCACTCTGCTTTTGTTTGTTTTGTTTGTGTTGTCACCTCCGAGCTGAGGTCTGCTGAAGGTTCACAAAGATGACATGAATATTCTCGTCTTTATTCCGAGGAGAAACGAGCTTCCCTCCGCCCACGTCAGCAGGTTATCTGAAGTCTTCATTAGAGAGAGACGGAGCTCACAACAGCTGACTCCTGCCTGCCTCTCACACAGCTGAACAGCTCCGTCTTTAAGAGGCGTGCTGCTGATTTGCATAAATCAAACTGAGGGAGCACTTGTGGAAAAATCTCCCAAATGGCTCTCTGTGATGATGCTGTTGATTCTGCGATGCTAACAGCTGTGTCACGCCGTAATGGGACCCTGAAGGCTCAAGTGGGGCTAAATACAGGTGTACTCAACCCTCATCAGGGCGCTCACATCTGCATAATTAATTCACTCAAGTGTGATGTGCATCTCTGCGCTGGTCGACGCTGACATTTAAGGTTTGTGTTTGAGGCTATGAAGCCGCAGCCTGCAGAGGAATACAATGTCTGTGCACGGGGAATTCAAGCACTCAGCTCTGACTGAGTTTTATCTGAGCTGGTGTTTGCACATCTTAAAGTACTTTACATCCTGCGTTTAGCGTATTTACAGAGAGCTGAAAAGACTCATCAGTCTGTCTCTGAGATTCTCTGCTCAGACTGCAGCTGCTAGGATACCGACGTCACTGCAGAGAGATATGTCTCACCATGCCAACAGGAAACAAACACGTGTGTTCAGTACTTCCTCCATCTTTAACACACACACACGTCTTTTTATTAGTTTTTACATTTCTTTCATTTCTTTGTTTTAAAACTACTTTTTTTTAAATACAAAATATTTTTTTTCATTTAAAGTTTTTTTTATTTAAGTTCAACTTTAAAGACGGCTTACAGTATGCATTAACATTTTTTCTTTTTGTTAAGACATTTGCAACATCCGACAAAAAAAGATGACAGAGAAAAAAATAAAAAATAAAAACAGGCAGAGAACAACAACAAAACACAAAAGAGGTCACAGAGGAAGTATATATCATATAGCTATAGAGGGGCAAAGACAGGGTGTACTTAGGGAGGTATTATTTTCTGGTTACGTAGCTTGCACTGTCTGTCTTTGGAGTGTGGGGAATATCGGCACAGTCTTTATAATGTCCAAAATGTCTTTCCATATGTGTTGGTCTTCCTTGTATTCATAAACCGGGTTAGAGGCTGCACCTTCCATTGAAACAGTCTCCAGAAATGTAGCCATGGATCATGATTCAGTTTTCCTGTTTCTTTCCAGTGGCTAGCAATCAGTCTCTTGGCCGTCATACATCCGGTTGTTATTATTTGCTTATTTTGTTTTGACCAAGTACCTTAAGGTGCATAGTTAAGAAGACACATCACAGGCTCACAAGTCACATTTTTACCAATAATTTTACCAAGAGAAGCAGTAAGTGGAGTGTTTTCCAAATATGTTCCCATGTCTCAGGATCCAGGGATTTACCTATATCTAACTCCCAGTTCCGTTGTGTTGTTCTCCAACAATCATCTAGTGATCTATTCAAAAGTTTGTACACCTTGAAAGAAATTTTCTCTCCTTCACTTATTGTTTTCTTTAGAGTTATTTCTGTTTTGTTCATTTTGGGTATGGTTACCGCCTCTCCTAAGTGCCTAGACAGCTGAGACCTTATTTGCATATATAACAGAAAGTCTTTATTCTCTATGCCATATGTGGTTTTCATCTCGTCGAACGTTTTCAGTTTTCTGCTATGCAAGGTTCTCAAGTCATCTAGTATAACAATTCCTTTAGCCTCCCAGTTGTCATTCCTTATAGGCCCACCACCCAGAGTAAACCCGTAGTTGTTCCAAATGGGAGCATTTGGGGATGTTTTTGCTGTAAAGCTCAAAGACTTCTGTAGAACTTCAGCAATGTCACAGGAAAACTGGATTAATGGATCGTCGATAATTCTACAGGAGGGGCTATACCAAAGGCCCTGCATATATATTTTTACCTTTAATTGGTTTATGATTTCTTGTTCTATATTTTCCCATCTTGTTTTTCTTAAATCTGAGCCATAACCCCAGCTAAGAGGATAGCGTGAGTTGAAGGCAAGGTAATAATTGTATACATCTGGTAGTCCAAGACCACCTAACTTCCTGTCAATATACAACTTCTTTCTGCTTACCCTTGGGGTCCTATCTCTCCAGATAAAATGATGGAAGAGCTTATTTATTTCTTTAAAGAGTCCCCTATCTACAGAGAGTGGTAGCGCTGCAAAGAGGTAAGTTATTCTAGGTAACACATTCATCTTAATGTGTCTATTCTTCCCCATATAGTCAGTGGCGGAGACTTCCATCTCTCTAAGTCATGTTTTATGTTGGTTATAAGATTTCTGAAGTTAAAAGACACATTCTCACTTATATCAGATTTAAGAGTTACTCCTACGTATTTCATTCCTTCATGGGACCATTTAAAAGGTAAGTTGGTAATGTGTATCTTATGACAATGGACGTTCAGCGGTAGGGCTTCAGACTTGTCCCAATTAATCTTGTAACCTGACAGAGTTCCAAATTCCTTTTCAGTGTCTAAAGTGTACTTAAGGATATGTGGTGGGTCAATTAACGTGAGAAGAATATCATAAGCAAATAGGCTAGTCTTCAGTTCAGTTAAGGGGGCTGTAATACTTGATCCTGTGGATCCTGATCATCTCTGCCAAGGGTTCCAGAAATACAAAATATTTTTAATACGGAATAAAAAAAGGAGAAGGGAAAAAAAAAAAGTTGGACAGAAATTGCTGCATCCCTTGAAATCCAGTGAATAATGATTGAGTTCATAGACCGGTTGGAAATGGGGATGTCTCCTGTGTGTGTGCTAAAGCTATAGCATACTCCCTTTATAGCTCTAGCAGACGCTTTAATCTGAAGAGACGTACATCAGAGAGTAAGAACAACACAAGCGAGGATCTAGAGAGAAGGAGACAACGTCAGGAAGTGTAAACAAACAGCTGGAAGTCTGATCAGACATACAGGTGCTGACAGGAAGTGACCAGAGACAGAGCACAACATCCACAGCTGTTCTTGAGAGTTCTAATCAGCATCAAAACCATCCTAATTATCATCATCATCATCATCATCCTTAAGGTGGTAGATGTTCATAAAGAGCTGGGTCTTTAGCTTTTTCTTAAAGGTGCAAAGGGACTCTGCAGATCGAATGGAGTTTGGTTTCATTCCACCACCGGGCGTCTTAGGACCCTGTTGTGAAGGTTTAATCAGACGCCTTTCATTGGCAGAGCGTAGTGGGTGGGAGGGGAGGGAGTGTAGACCTGGATGAGAGAGTTTAGGTAAGGAGGAGGAGCCGGTTTTTTTTGGTTTTTTGGTTTTTTTTAAAGATTTATTTTGGGCTTTTCATGCCTTTAATGCAGAGAGAGGACAGTGGACAGAGTCGGAAACCAGGGAGAGAGAGCGAGGAATGACATGTGGAAAGGGACCATGGGTGGAAGTGAACCCGGGCCTACCGCTTGAGA